TGTTGGACGAGCCACTAGTCACCTTTTTTTGCCTACCAAAGATTTTCTTGATCAATATCATTTTCTAGGGGGGTCATCACCAAAATCCCTCTATAAATAATATTAAAAAATATTAGTAATGGGATTTTCTTAAAATTATAAATAATGATAAGCTATGAAAACAAAGTAGAGAAACAAAAAATAAAGTGAAGTTGCTTTTGCTATGCTGTTAAAAAAAGCCATACACTTCATAAAAAATATAAGTACTACTAAGCTATAAAGATAAAGTAGAGTAACAACAAAGTAGAGCAACGAAAAATAAAGTTAACTACTACTATGCTATTAAAAAAATTTATGTGCTTCATATAAATTGTAACTACTATTATACTATTATAAACTAGATTATAATATACATACATTAAATATATTTACCTTCCATTTATTAATCATTTATTGATTCACTTCCATTCGATGACAATCCATCTTCATCACTAACACATTCTTCATAATTTTTCTCAATATTTAAATCTATTTCCTCTAATTGCAACTCTTTTTTATTAGTTGTAATTTGGTCATCAATATCATGAGCAAGATCTTTTAAGTTTGACATAAGCTCTTATTAATGTACAAATGGTATTGATGTGGTTTTCTCAATAACACCCCTAGGTTTGGTCTTGATGACAACAAGCCAATCTTGTTTGTCTCATATTTTTTCCAGGATAATTAGTAAAGTAGACTTGGCTAGTAATGATACATAAGTCAAATTTTATATATCTCTTTACTTCTATTATACCATATAGTGGATGTACTCTTATACCTCTATTTTGCACTGGATCAACCCAATCACAATTAAAAAGATACACATAGCTTCCATCACCTCAATATTCCAAATGTAATATTTCTTGTAAGACATTGTAATATCAGAATCATCACCTATATAGGTGTTACCTCTTATACAAACTCTAGAATTTTCTATCTTCCTACCTTTACACTAAGATTGGTTTCCAATTTATAGCTATTGGCCAAAAAATTTGATCGATATTTTATTAATATATTCGGTCCCCAAGCTAGATATCATAATCCTTTATATTATAAATCATTGCCTTGAGTGTTAACCTAATTGATTTGTCAAATATATGTATGTTATTAGCATGTTTATCGTGTTAACTCAGTAAGAGTACATACCATATTTTTGAACTAGTTTGAAGTACATACCATATTTATGAACCAATTTAAAAATTCTATTTTAACTATCTTTTAAACTTTTTCTTCTATTGATGTACTCAAATCATTAATAAAACTCATGTAAATCTTATATAGTTATGATTTATGAGTTATAAATGTATGAAGAGTTAACTCATACTTACTCAAGATATGACTCAACTTCATCACAGTTAAACAAGACGTACATCATGGCTTTTGTCATCTCCTTATTAGTCAAATAACACATGGCGCTAGTGTCTACGGGCTCACCACATCTATAAAATAAAGACATAGTTGAAGAATTACATGAATTTGGATGAACCATATTTTAAGGTACAATACTCTTTATTGATGTGGCACAGGGTTAAAATAATACGAGAAAAATTAGGTTGTCTAGTACATTAGATATGCTTCACAAATTAATCATTCAGGATGTGCTTTATTCTTAGCAATATTCTAAAAGTTTATTTAAATACCTCTCAAAAGGATACATCCATTGAAACTGAACATATCCACCAACTATAGCCTTATATGATAAATACACTAGTAGATGCTCTATATAGTCAAAAAATATTTGAGGAAATATCTTATCGAGTTTACATAGAATAATAGGAATATTTTTCTCCATATTAATCAAGTGCACTACATTCAGTTTTAAGGAGCATAAATCCTTAAAGAAGATTCTTAGCTCAATTAAGGAATTTAAAATTGGATTTAGCAAAAAATTAAAAGCAATGTGTAGTAGATATTGCATGAAGATATGTCAGTCATAACTTTTTAATCTGAATAATCTCTCCAGTCTCATGTCAATGCATCTACTAAGAATGGAAGAATATCCATCAAGTACTTTTAGAGTATGCACCCATTTACAAACTGCTCATCTCTACTATAAAGTCAAGGTGAATAGCACTTTGGTTTTAAAAGTTTTCCATTTCTTTCATCCTTCAACTCTAGAAATTTTCTCCTACAAATCTCTTTTTAGTCCATCTTTACTTTTAAAGTAATGCTACCATCATTATGATTTTTGTTTGGTGAAGATATCATATATACTTACTCCTTCCCATAATAAATTTAAATTATTAATTAAATGTTGCAAGAATACATTAATATTTAATTTTGGATTGTGTGGCTCTGGAATGATTAGTGTTAGAAATATATACAGTGTAGTCATACACAACTTTGAAGGAATATTATAAGGGATGAGTATCATGGGCCAGCATGAGTAAGGTGAAGCTAATTGACTAAATTGAGTAAAACTATCTGCGCATAAACCTAATATGACATTTCTTAATTCTTAGGAAAAGTTAGGATGCGTATGATCAAAGCGTTTTTAGGCCTATGCTTCTAATGGATGTGTCAGGACACAAACTTGAGCGATGTATTCGTTATGCCATCTCATATATGCAGCAGAGCTCAGAGATACATATAAACGTTGCAATCTAGGAATTATGAGTTAGTAAAATATCCTACTAACTGGTTTAAATCTTGGTGCATTGTATGGTGGCATAGAATATATAATATATCATCTTTATAGTATAATAAACATTCATTAACATACCAATCTATTTTTGTATAAGTTTATAAACAAACTTTTTAGTCTAATATAAATCTATAAGAATTTTGTTATCTACGAGATTAATCTCTTTAAGTAGACCAAAGAACTAATTAAAATATTCAAGGGGGATATTAAATTATGTCTTGATGTTTAACATCTTCACAGTAACAAATAACTCTGAGTGAGTAGTGCACCTCTTCCAAATTGTTTGCTGAGCAACATGCAAAAAATCATAGAAGTTTTGTGCCTTCTTATTTGGTGACTCTTTTGTATATTATTTAAATTGTGTCCGAGTTGCATTGTAAACTAAGTTGTCCAGTGTTTGAATATTTATTCCTCAACTATATTAGAACTTATAGATGGGCCGCATTGCAAATCAAAATGTGACTCATACTCACCATTAGAAGTCCAATACAAATATTCTGGCATGAATCCTCTTCGATATAGTTTAACAATTATCTCATATGGTGTGAGGTGTACTTGATTTTTATGTTTAGAAAATAGACAATGAAACCTTCCATCTCAGACAAAGCTAGGGAGTTGTCAGGTTGTGTGGATGAAAAAATCATTATATTAATTAACTCATATGTTAATGTCTTTCGTCCTTGTATCAAGTAGTTATACATTCAACTTATATGATTCTTAATATTCATAAAAAGAAGAATTTATCCTACACATGCATAATATGAAGTTATTAGAGGGGTATATTTTATCCTACACATGTATATAATTCATAATGATTTGTAAATCAAACTAGAGTGCGTATGGATAGAATTCATGAACATTTTTTTCGCAATAAATAACAAGAAATGTGCCGTAAAATCAATATTTTTGAAGGACTAGTTCATTTTCGATGGCTTTTGTCCGCCAAAAATACCCATTTTTCCTATCACATTTGCATAAGGAACTAAGATAATTTAGTAAGCCTGTAAGGGTAAACATGTTATGTCCTTTGCTTATACAATGAATCTTATAACTGTGTACACAACTTTTTCTGAATCTTTATTTTTGGCAGCTTGGGTTGGACAGTTTTGGCAAGGTTGAGCTGATCTTCTATGAGTTTGAACATTATTTTTTTATGATAACATTCCCTTTGATCATGCAAAACTATAATGTGGTTGTTTCATATGCTATATGCACACTAAAGGCTATTGGGAAGGGTTTCTTCTTAACCTTGGGAGACCAGAGTAGTAGAAATATTGAGAGATGGAAAAGTTGAGAGATAAAGTGTCATTCACTTGACAAGATAAAGTGTCATTCACTTGACATGATAGTGATTCATGTTTTGGTTAGTAACAAGGAATTGCTGTTGGGTTCTGTTTTCTTTGTAATTTTCATGACGGTACTCTAAGAGATAGAAGTTTTAAGGTTAATGCAGTGTCAAAAGGCATCTAATGCATTTGTTGACTGTTACGCACACACCTCTCTTTACCTCATATATATATATATATATATATATAAGCAGAGAACGAGAGGAAGAGAAACAAATGGGAGGAAGGGAGAAAATACTAGCACACGATCGTGAACAAACCAAAATAAGGCTTCCTGCGGTAGTATTTCCGATGGGCTTTTCACCGACAACGTTTCCACCAGACACACCGTTTGAAAATAAGTCATCATGTTTAAGTGATTCGATAGTTATTTCGCCAGCGGCTTCACAAGAAACGTTCCGACGGAAAAGCCACTCGTACATTTTGTCAGCTAGAACATACCAGTGGCTTTACAGACGAATGGGCCGTCGTACCATGACCATTGATATATCTGTTGAAAAAATTGGCGAATTATTTTTGGTGAAAATACCGCCGATTTTTTCTCATATATATTTAGTGGACGTATTTTCGTCGGAAATGCTGTCGGAAATGATGGTTGTTCTTGTAGTGGAATATGTGAGTTTTAATTTGTTTGGGCTGCAAATTTGGACTTGTTGGGTCGCAAGTTTAGGTTGGTTGGGCTGCAAAGTTTTTTAATTTATATTATAAATTTTTTATTACATATATTATAAGAATTAATAATATAAAATTTAATATTACAAATTTATATATTATATTAGAAATTATTAATGTATAATATAATTAAATGTCAAAATTAATTATAATTAAATTATTAATATTCATAAACACAATAGGATTAAACTATATGTCTGATATTTAATTATATTATATAATTATATTGTCATTATAATTTAATTAAAATATTTAATAATTAATTAACCCTCGCTAAAACTCATAAATTTATCTTAAACCCAGAAGTCCGAACTACTCAACGTCGTTGTCCCTCTTTTCTCGCCTTTCTCCCAAAAGATTTCAAGGACACTCCTAAATCGCAGGGCCGACTCCTTAGATCTTCGTTTTGCTTAAACATGTCGGAGATCGATTTGGTGGATGGGAATTTGGCTCTTAAAGAGATTCAGAAGCTGGATGGCCATACTGATAGAGTCTGGAGCCTCGCCTGGAATCCGGCAGCTGGAGCTGGGGGCCTTCCACCGACACTCGCCTCTTGCAGCGGTGACAAGACAGCTAGAATCTGGCAGCAGGGCCCCTCAGGTTCCTGGAACTGTACGGTCTGTTCTTATATCCACTTTCTAGTTCTATTATTTAGTAGTCTCTCTTGCTTTTTCATGTAGAAATCTGGTCAAAATTTGCAACTTTGGATGGGCTTCTAGCAAGCTGTATATTTTCTGTCTCTGAAACGCATTTGGTTGTGCTGTATGTCAACTTTGTTTGATACTGATCTGTTTTATATTGGACCACCTTTTAACTCTAGCTGGAAAGTTTAACTTCGTCATTGAAAATTGTAATTCAAGAGCGAAGATCTATTGATTTCATCTTACAGAACTGTTGTTTCAGCCCGGTGGAAAATTAAGCAGAATCAAGTTTTATATATATATATTTTTATTTCCGTGATTTGAACAAAACTTGTGGCAGGTATGATGAAATTATTAAGCGTGGACACCGTAAACGCCGACAACAAATAAGCAGGTTATCTATAATTAGTGTAGACACTATAGCTTATGGTTCCAAGAGAATTTAAGCATAAAAATCTCATATTGCACACCATTGCATAGAGTTTTCCTGAAAACTTGGAGGGAAAGGAGCCATACCCAGCCATCCCTGGCTGCACCAGTAGATATGGCTGTGTACACAATTATATACAAGCTCCTTATTGATTGTCCACATTCATTAATGCTATATGATTATTGATAAGTTTTATGCTGGTTGTCAATCACCTAATGCAATCTTTCATTTTTCTCATCTAGATCTTGGGATCAGGCAACCGCGGTGTTTGCATGATGCTATATGCACCTAATAGATTCTCAATGGATGACCTACAAATGTTGATACTAAAGTTTTGAGCTTGTGCAAATTTCTTGTCTATTCTTCTCACCTTGTTTTAGGCTTCCATATGTTTGCATAGAGATCCAATCACTTTCATTTTTTTGCTAATGCTAGTTCCTGCTCTTTCTAAACCTGATATTCTTATGAAAGCACCAAACAACAATGACAAACCTTTATCCCACTATGTGGGGTATTCTTCGAAAGCGCACCAAAAAAAAAAAAAGAAAAAAGAAAATTCCTTAACATTTATTCCGTACAGATGCCATATTTTGAAATGATTTTAAACTGCTTTCATATTCATATAGTTTTTCTTCTATGTTTCTGGTAGGTTATTAATATATATATGGTGCAATATTAATCATGAATCTCAGCATGATATAAAGCATACTTATTCACATTAATTACTGATTCTTGGCAGTTTTTTTATGCAGGCTGTCCTGGAAGATGCGCATAATCGAACTGTCAGGTCTTGTGCTTGGTCTCCATGCGGGAAACTGTTAGCAACGGGAAGTTTTGATGCCACGACAGCAATATGGCAGCAAATTGGTGGTGATTTTGAATGTGTTGCGACATTAGAGGTATTGTTTTCTTTATTTGTAAAAAAACACACATGGTTCTTAGTTTTATCATGCTTTTTGGTTTTTTAATTTTGTTTTCTCTTAAATTATTTTGATAGAAGTTTTGGTTTTGTTTGTTTCCTTCACATAGGGTCATGAAAATGAAGTCAAGGGTGTTGCATGGAATTCTTCGGGGTCTTTTCTTGCCACTTGTAGTCGAGATAAGTCTGTTTGGATCTGGGAAATGCAACCTGGTAATGAGTTTGATTGTGCTTCTGTGCTGCATGGTCACACACAGGATGTCAAGATGGTGCAATGGCATCCACATTTGGATGTTTTGGTTTCTGTCAGTTATGACAATTCTATTAGGGTACTAACATAACGTGAAAGTGTTTAGCTCTACCACTAGTCAAAACCATATTATAATTACATAATTTATGTTTAGCAAACGTAGACATTTATTTATTTATTTTGATCTAGATCTGGATTGAGGATGGAGACCTTAATGGTTGGAGTTGCGTGCAAACATTAGGTGAAACTAGCAGGTGATTATGTTTATTTTTCATGCATTTTCCCCCTTCTTTTCAGACTTTTTCCACCATTTCTATTAGTAAACTAAATAGAAAATCTTATACATCTTTACTGATTACTAAGCCACAGCTACATGCTCAATGGTGAAGGTTTTTTATCAATAAGAATTGCTAATGGCTTAGTTGCACTCTATGGAACAATGATATTTTTTTCAATTTACTTGAATATTTATTTATAAATTATGCTAGATAAGAAGTTTCTTTTTGCTAAAAAGATTAAGCTAATAGATGTGACAGGTATTAAGATTCCCTTTAGAACTTCATATTACTTGAGGATAAATAGCCTTTTGCCTCTGACACTTCATAGGTCAATAGTTTCCATTGATCTTTCTAAAAAAACATTTTCCCTTTTCTTTTATTTTGGTATTTATATGGGAAATTGGTTCCTTCATCCTTATTTTTTGAGACCATTTAAATATTTTAAGCAATGTTCAGGACTGTTTAACCTAATGATTTACTGTCAGTGGAGAACAACTATTTGCTGCTAGGTGAATCATGGAAGTTGATCTGTGGTGTTCAATATTATGAATACTATTCTTAACCAGTTTAATTAGCCTTTGTTGGGTTAGATTGAAAAATGATCTCAAGCATATATTTTCCTAAGTTAGCTTACTGTGCTATTATTAATTTGTACTCCTATGGTGCACTGCACTTTTAAGTTGCACATTTTCTTTTAATGCTGATTCATTTTGGATTTTGGTGTTCTTAGTGGTCATTCATCAACCGTTTGGGCACTGTCTTTCAGTTCAGGTGGCGATAGAATGGTTACATGCAGGTATTTAGTGCAATGAGCATATAGTTGCTTTATAGAATTTTCTCAAGCTCTATTACTTTAGATGGATGGTCTATTACTCTGCAGCGATGACCTTACTATGAAGATTTGGGACACCACTAATAATCCCTCAGAGGATGGATCATGGTGAGCTGATTCTTTTTTTCGTAACTCACTAGTGCCTTATGTTTTATTTGCATTTGCATTTGGATTTGAAATTTTTATCATTTATAATTCTAGGGAACAAAAAATGGCCCAAAATTTGAATTTGTATGCTTGGTGCTGAAGGCTGTAATTACAAAGCATTTTAATAGTGGATTTCAATCTCTCAGAGGTTTACTGTATGAGTTACTTGGAATCACATCATGTAGAATATAACCCATGAGAAAGATTTATGTTGATCACTTGTATTGACACAGAAGCATAATTGATTCCCATTCTTGAAAGGCTGATGGACATAAATAGTTTTCTCTTGAGGAATTTACATGCTAAATGCACTTTAGAAACGATTCTTAGCAGCAGATACGTAAATTGCAGTGTACAATTCAGCTTCATGCCACATACTACATTCTTCTACTTTGAATTGATACTGTAACTTCAAGTTATTAAACACTCAAGTCTAGATGAATGCTGTAGTGAAGCTGTGCATAGTGTTATTGAAGGAATATGATTACTCTAATATCAAAATTGACGATGAACCTTTGATGTGGATATTTTTCTTGATTTTCTTCTTCCTTCATCTCTTAAATTAACTTTGGAATGTTTGTTCTCTCTTTGAATCAGTTGAGGGAATAAAATTGGATTTGTAGAAGAGAAACAAGAAAGAGAATACAAAGAGTAGTTGGACACTGTTAGAAAACAAGAGGTTTGAGAAGAAAAAATGCTTGCTTTTTTTCATGATTTCTTCCCTATTTATATATCTATACAAGAAATCTTAATACAATAACAAATAATTACAGAATAACTCTAATAGAATCCTTCCTAAATCAGCTATCCGAATATGGAAAGAATTTTGGCGTGAGTCATGCGTCCCTCGGATCATGCATTGTAGTCGTTGGATCTTATCTGCGTTGAACGGTTGAATTTTAACTCCCCCTCAAGCTGGGAAGTATGGATTTGTCATTCCCAGCTTGGCTATCATTCTGAGAAAGACGACGTTGTCCACTACTTCGGTAAGGATATATGCAAGTTGTTCTTTTGATGGTACATGGTTGATACATACAAGTCCACTGTCTAATTTTTCTTTTATAAAATGTTTGTCAACTTCTATGTGCTTGGTCATGTCATGCTGAATTGAATTGTGAGCTATGCTAATTGCTGATTTGTTGTTACAATTTAATTTTATTGGTTTGTCCCATTTAATCTTCAGGTCTTCTAGAATCATTTTGATCCATAGTACCTCACATATTCCTAGGGTCATAGCTCTATGTTATGCTTCTGCATTGGATCTTGCCACCACGTTTTGCTTCTTGCTTCTTCATGTAATTAGGTTTCCTCCAAGGAAGGTGCACTACCCAGAAATAAATCTTCTGTCTACTGGTGATCTTGCATAATCAGTATCGTTGTATGCCTCTAGGGTTATTTCTTGGTCTCTTTTAAAGAGAATCCCTTCTCCTGGGTTACCTTTAAGGTAGTGCAATATTATGTCTACTACTTGCATATGGACTTGTTTTGGATTTTGTATAAACTGATTGACCATACTAACAACAAATGCTATATCTGGTCTGGTGTGGGAAAGGTAAATCAATTTCCCTACTAGTCTTTGGTTGGCTCCTTTTTCTACATATGGATCTTCTTTACCTTCTCCCAATTTGAGATTATATTTTACTGGTGTTGGTGCCGGCTTACAGGCAAATTTTTCTGTTTCTTTCATAAGATTTTTCATGTACTTTTGTTGTGAGATGAAGATTCCTTTGCTAGAGTGAACTACTTCGATTCCAAGAAAGTATTTTAGTCTTCCAAGTTCTTTGATGTCAAATTCCTTAGTAAGAATTTTTCTTAGACTATCTCTCTATTTTTCATTATTTTTAGTAAAGATAATATCATCCACATACACTAACAATATTGTGACTTTCCCTGAGTCTGAGTGTTTAAAAAATATTATATGATCCCCTTGGCTTTGTTTATACCCATTAAGGAGTATGAATTTATATAACCTTCCAAACCAGGCCATTGGTGATTGTTTGAGCCCATATAGGGCCTTTTTTAATTTGCACACCTTGTTACCTCCAGAATTTTCCTTAAATCCTGGTGGTATTTCCATAAATATTTCTTCTTCCAGATCCCCATTTAGGAATGCATTTTTTACATTCAATTATTCCAGATGCCAATTGTACTTAGCTGCTATTGAGAATAGAATTCTGATAGTGTTCATTACTGGTGCAAAAGTTTCTTGATAATCAATACTATATGTCTGAATGTACCATTTTGCCATTAGTCATGCATTGTATCTTTTTAGTGTGCCATCAGCTTTGTATTTTATAGAGAACACCCATTTGCAGCCGACTGGTTTTTTCCTTGCCAGTAGATTGATGATCATTTTTCTAATTTTCATCAGATAGTGCCTCAGAAATATCATTAGGAATATGAATATCATCTAGTGTAACCAGGAAGTTTTTTTGTGGGGAGAAAAAATATTGAAGGATATAGAGTTGGTTATAGGGTATAAGGGAGGTGGAGAATTTACCTTACTTTCAAGGGATGGTTCAGTTTCTTGGATCTTCTTCGGAGCACAGGTTGAGCTCGTATGCCTGGAATATACCTTCCCAAATCTCAGGTAGTTTTGTCTTTAGATTCCCTATTTTGAATTTTAGAAGGATTGGTTTGATGTGGTGGAGGAAGGTCAAGAGGGGAAAGCATACTTTCTTCATCTTCTTTTGTTTTAGTCTCCCCCTGAAGATGAGGTTTGATAAAGTAGGAGTTTTGTTCATCAAAAGTGACATCAATGGATACAAGCATTTCCTTTGTAGGGTGGTGATAGCATTTATACCCTTTTTGGGTGGCAGGGTATCCAATAAAGATGCATTTGAGTGCCCTTGGATCTAGTTTTCCTCTATTCTGGCGTGGATGTGAACATAGACATTGCACCCAAAGATTCTGGGTGTAAGGTTATTTTGTGTTCAAAACTTGGGGTATAAGGAGGATAAAATATCCATTGGAGCTTTCATCCCCAAGGTTTTTGATGGTAGTTGGTTTATGAGGTAGGTGGCAGTTAGGAGAGCCTCTCCCCAGTAGGATTTGGGTATAGTGTGGTGGAGAAGGAAGGCACGAGTGGAGGCTAGGAGGTGACCATTTTTCCTTTCCGCAACCTCATTTTGTTGTGGGGTGTGAATGCAGGAGGACTTGTGGATGATACCCTCACTTTGAAAGTAAGAGTGTATGGTTTGGTTGAAGTAGTCTTTAGCATTGTATGAACGAAATCTCTTTATTTTGACCCTAAATTGATTCTGGATCATGATGTGAAAAATGGGAAGAATGGTGCTGACGCCGGATTTATTTTTGAGGAGATAAATTCAAGACACTCGAATGCAGTTACCAATGAAATATACAAACCAGCGAGTCCCAGAGATGTTGAGGATCTTTTAGGGTCCCCATATGTCACTATGAATGAGATAGAAAAGAGTATTGCATCTCTAATTTTTGTTTGGAAAAGAGATTTTTGTTTGTTTGACTAATTCACATATCTCATAATGAATATTTTCATTTTTCAATTTATGAAACAGTTTTGGATAAATGTGTTTCAAGACTTCTACTAATGTATGTCCTAATCTGAAATGATTAAGCCAAATAGTAGATCTCTAGTCAACTAGGGATAACATAGAGTAGCTATTTTAAGATTTGTTTAGCTCTTCGACGTAGTACAGTCAACCTCTCTCCTTAGCAAGTCCAATCGTCTTTCTAGATCTCTGGTCCTGAAATAAGCAAGAAGTAGGGTTAAATAAAGTTTGACAATTATAGTCCCTTGGTAAGTTTTTGTATGAATATAATTGTTATGTATAATTGAGGAACATGGAGCACATTTTTTAGAATGAGGGAAGGGGATAAGGGTATGTCTGCTTGGCCTTCTACTTTGGCAAAAGAACCATTAGCAATGATGATTTTTTTGCCTATTGGGCAAGGATTATAATTGATGAAGTGGGTTGTGGAGTTTGTCATGTGGTCTGTGGCTCCTGAATCAATGATCCATATTCCTTTCGAATGATTTCTAGAAGTACTTAATCCAGTTAATATGGGAAACTTACCTAAAAGCGCAAGAGAGGGAGATGCAGGTGGTTTTTCAAGGGATACTAGGAGTTTATTATTATTATTATTATTATTATTATTATTATTTTTTATTAGGGGATACTAGGAGTTATCTGAATCTTTCAATATCCTCTTTATTGAAGCTTTGAGATGAGTTTTCTTTAGACATTGTGGTATTACAACAACAATAAAGGTTGTTTTGATTATATCAGCAATAAAGACTGATATTAAATAAATCGGGTCTCAAGCTTGATCTGGTTACACTTAGGTTGCTGGTTCAAATTCGACAGGTCAGACCGAGCCGCTTAAAAAAGAAGGTTTCGGTCCTTTTTTGCATGAGTCGGGACGGAAAGGAGGTTTCATCCTGGTAGGTCTTCCGCTAGCTCAGTCTTCCTGTTTCGGCTTCGTCCCGCTTGTTCGCAGAGCTCGGCTCTTGCTATCGATTCTTCCAGACGGGATCAATCCTGCTTGTGATTCTCTCGGGTGACTTCGTCACGTACGTCCGTGTCGTTTGGCTGGTCAGCGGCCTATCTTCTGTAGTGGCATCTTGCAACATCAAAAAGTTACAATGTCTTCGCCTGGACTTGCTCGTCGATCGTTCTTCAGAAGTTCGTACTGCTCAAAGTTCTTCAGTGACGATAAATATTGCTTGGTTTTCTTTGACGATCCGACAACAATCTCAGAAATGAAGGCCGGCTTCTCTGCTTTCTTCGTATATATTTTATAAAGATTTGGCAACGGCTAATCGAGGCTCTAATACCATGTTAGAAAACAAGAGGTTTGAGAAGAAAAAAGGCTTGCTTTATTCCATGATTTCTTCTCTATTTATAGATCTATACAAGAAATATTAACACATAAACAAATTATTACAGAATAACTCTAATAGAATCCTTCCTAAATCAGCT